GAGAGAGAGAGAGAGAGAGAGAGAGAGAGAGAGAGAGAGAGAGAGAATGCAAAGCACATGCCCTAGTTGGCTTTAACTGTTAACTTGACAGTCTAAAGTCATCTGAGGGATTGATGAAATCACACTGGCCTGATGGGTAGCATCAGTCCCTGGCTGTGTGGTTCCAGGATGTATAAGCAAGCTAGTAAGCATGGGTGAGCCAGCAAGATGTATTCTTCTATGCTTTCTTCTTCAAGTCCCTGCTTGAGTTTCAGCCTTGACTTCCTTCAGTGGTGGATTATGATCTGGAAGTATAAGCCAAATAAACTCTTTCTTCCTCTACTTTGCCTTTGATCCGAGTGTTATATGACAATAGAAAGGAAAGTAAAAACAATAAAGACAAAAGACACAGTTTAAATAGACTAGCATGTATTAGTATCAGACTTAAATATGTAAGAAGGTTGGAATTATTAAACTGAAATATTTGTCTGTTTTTTAGTGCTGGTTCAACTGCGGAAAGTCAATTAATAGCTATACGTTTGATGGACTATGTCTGAAGCAGAAAGATTGGGAATTCCAGGCCAGCCTGATCCACATAGCAAGACCCTGTCTCAAAAACACAAGAAAGAAATTTATATGAGCATAGTCTCAGAGCCCTCGGTAAGGCCAGAAGGGTAGAACAGCAGGGTATTTTCTCCTGAGTCTTACAAAGGTCATACTGGGGGACTCACATGTATAGCCGAGTACTGGAGCCTAACCTGTCTGATTTCTTGCCTTCAAATCTCCATAGAACCTGTTAAGTGATGGTATTGTTACATCTCAGAGAGGGTCAGATTCATCACTGATGTCCTGATACCCTCTCCTTGGGACCACACATACGACTCTTTGAAGCCATAGTCTTTACTCATAGCTGGCTGATTGACTGTTAGTAACTGAATCAAAGTTCTGAACCACTGCTAATCTCCAGAAAGGTCCATTAACCCAGAAACATTTTACACGAATGTAAATAACATTCCAAATTTAACTCTCCAGCACTACATTGTCTATTCTTCAAACGTGCTATCAGTGTCCTGAGGAATATAGCATTCCCATGATTCAAATATGTGACTTCCTTTGCCTGCATGCAGAACCATTTAAAGTGACTTGTAGTAGATGTTTTAACTTATTAATGCTCTGTTCAAAGCCCCTTTTGTTTATGCAGTGGGAACAGTTGTCCTGTATCCATAATTAATAAGATTAATTGCTGGTATGGACTCATTATTGTGGCCTTAGTAATATCCTATGCAAATAAAAATGATTGTTTTTAATTTTGTTGTTTTTATTTATTAAAAAATTTAAATGTGATTTATTTCACTTCATGTGTATGAATATTTTTCTTGGGTGGATGTTTGTGCATCATGTGCCTGGTACCCAAAGTGATCAGAAAAGGATTTGGATCCCCTGGAACTTGAGTTACAAAGGTTGAGAACTCCCATGCAAAATACCAGCCATGTTAGAACTTCGTATGTCACAAAAAAAAACTAAGTAGAGAAGCTGAGGTTATAGTCCCAGCAATTTGGGAGGCTGGGGCAGAAAGATTACAAAATCAAGACCATCCTGGGTTAATACTCTTAAAATAAGAGCGACAAGCTGGGCACGGTGGTACAAACAAGCTTGCAATCCCAGCACTCAGAAGCTAGAAATGGGCAGTGAGGGTCATGGACAGCCTCAGCTACAGAAGACTTTGTTTTGGAAGAAAAAAGCGGGGAAGGGGCTCAAAAGGTGGGCTCACAACTGCCTGTAACTCCAGTTCCACAGGATCTTATGGTTTCTTCTGCCTTCCATAACTGTACTCATGTGCACATACCTACACACAAACACACACACTTAAAGATAAATCTTCAAACGGGGACAGATCTACATTTAGTTCAGTGGTAGTGGGATTGCTTAGCGCCACAGGGTCCTAGGTTCCACAACCAATACTAGTGGGGAAAGGTAAAAATAAGCGCAATCACTAAACTAAAAATAATAGTTAGTCTATGAGATGGCAAGAGTAGCTGCAATCATGGAGAGTATGGCAAAACTTCAACTATAATGTTAGTGTTTGATTTTATTCTCTGTGTTTGCGTTTGTGTTAAATAGGTCACAATATATAACACTGCCAAAATAATGTTTTAAAAAAAAACAAAGTTAATTTTGACATTCCTTTATCATCCTCATACATATATGAAAAAAATAAGATCATATTATCCTACAACTTATTTCAATGTAACAAGCTATCATATCGTCTTTTATACCAAAGAATCAAAATATACAAACTTTTTAAACACCCTCCTATTTATTACCTACGTATCTTATTACTTGCATCCTCTTTAGGTATCCTTATTTGTATACTGATGTACTTGCTCCTCTTTAGGTATCCTTATTTGTATACTGATGCTTCTCTTTCTGAAGGATTGAGCCTTAAAAGTCAGACTACTGAGTTCCAGATACGGAACTTGGTATTCCACATATCTTTTTTTATTTCTCTAAGTATAGCTAGCTACATTAATGCTTCCAAATGGTTGTAACAATTCATACTTTATTCAGCAATGCCTTTCTAAGGTACTGAAATTTCTTTTTGACCAAATAAGCCTCCAACAACAGAACGCACATCACCCTTTAAGGCCTATTATAACAGATGCTTCCAGACCACATAGTCAGTAACACACTAGGGTCCTCATTTGGAGTACATAAGAAAGGCATGGGGTGGGGGAGGGAAGCGTATTATACCATAATCAATTTTACAAATAAGCTAGTTTTATCAGCTGCTAAGTTTTGATGAAAAAGAGTTGAGGCCGTTCTTGGAGGCCTCTTGGGAGCTGGAATAAACACTCCATTTTGGAGACACTCACTATCCCTCAAACCCCAATTAGACAAAGGAAAACGGAAGTAAACCTAAAAACACGACCTCTCCTAGGAATTAGCCTCCCCGGCCTGACAGGTTCATCAGTGGAGGTTCGATGATGTGGTGGCTGATCACTTATCGTCTACTGTGGGAGGAATAGGGGAGAGATAGGGAGTGCCAGCCGGCTACTGTCCCGCGCTCGCGGCAGACCATGCGGTCGGTCGGAGTGGTGACCGCTGCCCCAGCCACCTCTCTGGCAGCGAGAGACCCGGCACTCACCAGGGCATGTTCATTAACTGGCCAGTTTCTCCACTCTCCTCATTAAGTCATCCTCTAGCTGCCTTGCTAATCCCGGGAAGCACGCATACATGCGGACGCCGCCATCTTACAAGTTATAGAAGCCTGGAGGGGGAGGCGCGGGGCGGAGAGCATGCGTCAGAGCCAAATGGTCCCTGCGCCACGCGGCGCCGCGCTGTCACTCTCCCTAAATGGCTGCTCCAGCAACGTGATCCAGATTGTCAGTGGTCGCTTCCGCAGATGACTGAGCGCTTGCGATTCCTCTCACGGCTGCCTCTGTTAGCTTTTTTCAATATGCTCCCTTTTTTCTTGCCCGTCTTTAATTTGCTTTTCTCTTCCCCTCCGGAATTTCTTTTCCTTTTTGTTTCCGTAGAAGACAGGCTTGTGTTTTGCTTCCGAGACCTCTATCGGGGTCGCTTTTGTATTTTTAGCTGCCAGCACTGCTATAGATGCTATAATTGCAATCCACATGTTACAGAGGTTAGGTGGCAAAGTAAGCCACAGGCCTGGGAATGTCCCCTAGTTTTGGATAAAGACTGTTAGTGTGATACCTTGGGCCTAGGCTGACAATAACTCCTTTGGCTTTTGGACGTTCACACCAATACTGGTCACTACACAAATTAGAAAGAGATCCTGAGTTATCAATAAAGGTAGAGAACAAAATTCCCATTTAAAAGAGAAAAAAATTTCTCATTTTACCTATTGTACCAAGAGGCACAGGGGCAGGAGAAATTGCTCAGTGGTTAACAGTGCTTACTGTCCTTGCAAAGGATGGAGGTTCAGTCCCCAGCAACCATGTCGGGGTGGAGAGCTCACAACTGCCTCTAGTTCTAGGGGAAGCCATTCTCCTTCGCTCAGCTAAAGGCACATGCACATACCTCTCTACACAGGCAAACATGCATGCATGTACATAAGGAGAGAACTAACTCTGGCAGGCTGTTCCGCTGATCTCCATGCATGTACTGTGATACCTGCACTTGAGCATGCACACACACACACACACACAGACACACAAACACACATTTACTTTAGGAGTTTGAGGAAGGGAATGGGGGAAAATATGTAATTATATTTAGATTAAAATTTAAATGGGGGCAATAAATCGATTATAGTCACAGGAGCATATCAAATTGATTGTCTTGGTCCTGGGGGTGGGACCAAGACAATCAATTTAATATTAATTTATTGTGTGTGTGTTTAATTAAAACCATTTTGGAATGTCACCAAAGGAGCCTCAGTGAATATCTGCATTCACTTGAGGAAGATTTTGCTAAGGTAACCCAGGACAGCTGTCATGGAGCTGAGGACTGTCCTCTCTCCAGAGGGAAGGTAGCACATTCTCCCTTACACTGGTTTCTCTCTTTCCCAAGACAGCAAAACCCTGGTTTCTTTTCATTCTACTGTAGGCAGTGCTTTTCTGTGCCAGTTTTCCTCAGCTGTAGCCAGAATTTGCCTTTTTGGAGTTCTTTCTTCTGCCTGGAGTTTCTCTGAGATGGAAAGTTTGCAGAAATAATTACCCAGACCCCCCCCCCCCAAGGACCAAGACAATCAATTTGATATGCTCTTGTGACTATAATCGCTTTATTGCCCCCATTTAAATTTTAATCTAAATATAATTACTTATCTTCCTCCATTCCCTTCCTCCAACTTCTCCTGTGTTATGCCTCACCATCATCACCACCAACACACACACACTGCCTCTCAAATTCTTGGTTTGTCCCCTTCTTGTATGTATGTGATTTTTGGGTGCATATTTGGTTTCTACTTATCTTTGTTGTTGAAAACCCCAAAAGCAGGGCTGGGGAGTTGGCTCAGTGTGTAAGAGTACTTAATATTCTTGCAAAGGACTCGGGTTCGATGCCCAGTAGCCACGTGAGGTTTATCACTTCCTTGAGCACCGTGCACAAATATAAAAATTGATTCAGGGGTATCAGGGAGCCCAACTGGCTGTGTTTCCAACTTTTTCGGCAAAACTGATGAAGTAAGTACCTAGAAAAGTGTGACTTTAGCTAATTTTTAAAGATTTGGCTTTTCAGTCATGCATATATCTTTGTTGCTGTTTTGTGTTTGAGACGGGGCCCCAGGTATTCCAGGCTGGCCTCAACTCATGTAGCAGAGAATAATTGTGAATTCCTAATTCTCCTTCCTTCACTTCCCAAGTTCTAGGTCATCCTGTGAATCACCATGCATCACTTTATCTTTTACAAACCTCTTGTGACATACTCAAGCCTTTGACAATAAGCTTACACTTTCTGGATTTTTTATCATCACACCTTTATGTCCATTTGTGAACAATCTTTTAGTATTAGGATAAAAACCTTATACTCTTTTCTCATCTAAAAAGTATTTCCTTTATCTTTAATTTTCTATATATAAATGGCCTATAACTTCGTGTAATATTTTACATTTATTTATTTATTGAATGTTTGTATGTGTGAGAGAGAAAGACCAAGAGGGGAGAGGAAAGAAGGGAGGAAGGGAGGAAGAGAGAGAGAGAGAGAGAGAGAGAGAGAGAGAGAGAATCTATTTGCTCTGTAGACCAGGCTGGAACTCAGAAATCCTTCTGCCTCTGCCTACTGCATGCTGGGATTAGATAAAACTATTCTTTAATATTCTAATGAAAATCAAGGAAAAGCTGAGTAAGGTGGTACTTACCTATAATTCCAGCACTTGAGAAAGTTAGGAAGGAGGATCAGGAGTTCAGCTCATCTTCAGCAACACGATAAGTTCCAAATTAGCCTGAGTTCCATGAGACCACATGAAAGAGGGGTTGGGAGCAAAGCCAAAAACAAACCTTGAAGCTGTATATGAAACATAGGAGACAATATGTTATCAATCTTTGGAACAGTCCTGTGTTTTCTTAAAATTTAAGTTACACAGTTGTTAGAAATTTATGTCCTGTCTCTCAGAAATTATTTTTACTAAAGATATTGATGGCCTACTTGGCTTCACAAGGTAACCAACCACAAGATTAAAGACTTGAATCTCTGCCTTCATTTTGAGTCTGTCTTTCCCTTTGTCAAAAAAACCCTGCTTGACTATGCATAGGTGTATGAATAATAAATGCTCAGAAATAACTTATTTTCCTAAATCTTTAGTCTTCCTGAACTCCAAGAACAGCAAAACCTCCCAGGACAGACCTTTCCCCATATGAGGGCAGTTATCCATGATGCAAGGCAAATGTAATCAGCTTATGCTTCAAACATGAACTACCCTTTAAAAAACAAGAACTCTCTCAAGGCACAGCATAGCCTTAGGCTCAAAGCAATTCTTCTGCTTGGATTACAGGCGTGTGCTATCGTGGCCAGCCAAAATGAGGGCTTCTTTGTGCTATCTTGCAGTACCACATGACACAACAATTAATCAGACTACACCTTGAAGAAAATTACTTATTATGAGTACTCCTTGTTCTCTATAGAACTGTCTCTCCTATTTTTGGTTTAAATCTCAAGTCAATACTCCAACGCTGGGGCCAGGTTCATTGGACCCTTCTATCGCTCTTAACACTTGACCACCTCCATGATCAGGTTATGCTACTCTAAATCACTCTACATTGTATAAATAATTAGCTTGTCAGGTCAAACTCCCAGTGGCCTGCTCCTTAAAGAAAACCTAGACCTTTTCGACCACCATTCCTACTGAAAGCCATCAATTGTAGCGAGCTACACTTCAACATCCTTATCACAATTTTTAAGAGTTCTCCTCAATGGCTTTCTGTCAAGGCTGTTACTTTTTGGGGGGAGTGGGCAGGGGTTGGGGTTGTCACAGAAGCTTTCTATGTCTCTCTTTCTCAACTGTGTGTCTGCAGTCTGTCAACACCACTGCAAAAGTAGCTTTCTTGCACTTTACAGTCGGAAGAATAGATTAAGTACTTCTGTCACATGGTTTCTGGTGACATTACAGACCATGGACATCCACATGGTCTCCCATGCAGTACAGACCACAAACATCAAAACGTCTCAATGATGCAGCATGGACCATGGATACCTCCATAGCCCTCAGGGGCAGCAACATGACCATACCCTCCCACCCCGATTCTTGTAGCTGCCCCTGGCTGTACCAGGACCATTGGCCCCAACATGGCCCTCTGCAGAAGCACAAACCAAGAACATTAAACATGGCCTCAAATGACAGCACAGACTACTCACATCAACATGGTCCCCTGTGGCAGCACAGCTGGTTGACAAATTTTAAATTTTTTGATACATGGTTTTATTTTTATTTTAGATTTTGTTTTCTTTTTCTTTCTTTCTTTTTTTCGAGGCAGAGTTTCTCTGTGTAGCCCTGGCTGTCCTGGAACTCCCTCTGTAGACCAGGCTAGCCTTGAACTCTCGAACTCAGAAATCCGCCTGCCTCTGCCTACCAAGTGCTGGGATTAAAGGTGTGCGCCACCACTGCCCGGCTAGATTTTGTTTTCATGTGCATTGGTATTTTGTCTGTATGTATGTCTGTGTGAGGGTGTCAGAAACCCTGGAACTGAACAGTTATAAGTTGTCATGTGGGTGCTGGGAATTGAACCTGGATCATCTGGAAGAGCAGCCAAACCTCTTAACTGCTGAGCCATCTCTCTAGCCCTCAAAATATATTATCTACTCTTTTTGTTTGTGTTTGTTTTCAAGCCAAGGTTTTTCTGTGTGGCCTTGGCTATCTTGGAACTCCCTATGTAGACCAGGCTGACCTCAAACTCATAGAGCTCCACCTGCTTCTGCCTCCCGAGTGCTGGGATTAAAGGTGTGCGCCACCACTGCCCAGATTCCATGGTTTTATCTTAATCACATTTCTTATCCATATAGCAGCATCACCAGTCCTCTCATGGATCAGCTTATAACGTCATTTTAAATAAAGCAAGCAAACAAACAAACCTTCTGGGACTAGAGACATACTTCAGTGCTTACGAACATTTGCTGCTCTTTCAGAAAATCCAAGTTCCGTTCTTAGCACTGTCAGGCAGTTGACCATCACCTATAACTTCAGCTCCAGGGAATTTGATGCTCTCTTCTGCTCTTTTGGGGCACACACAAATAAAATCAGAAATAAACCTTGAAAATTAAATACTTCTCAATGATGCAATGGGGGGCTAAGGAGATCGCTCAGAGGTTAAGTATTTG